TCAGGATAAATTGCATTTTGACGACAAAATGCAATTTCGACAGCTTATTTGTTAAATATAATCTATATATTTCATGTATCTGCACGTAATATTTAATTATTAAGTTATTATACATATATCTTATGTATACATACATAAATATTCTATGCAAGTTTAATTTATAAAACTATTTTAGTTTTATCAGAATTGACATGTACATATATTGACATATGATACATATGAATGTAACAAGATACACATTTACTTATTATAAAAATGTGACATTTTAGTACCCTGCTATTATTAAAATGTTACTTATTAACACAGTATCTGAATGTGTAAATAAATTTATTAGAATAATTACATTTAAAAAATCATAAACATTTAGACTTTCATTCTAATTTAGATCATTCTAATAAATTTGCACACTCAGATCTTGTATGATGAGTTTTCAGTTAAGCAATTGTGGGGATTTGAAAAATAACTAATGTGTACCTAAATATAGGTACCGGTACACAAGAAATGATACCTAGGTATAGGTACAGGTACCAGAAAAAAAAAGTACTCGGTACAATTCCTAGATACGCAAATTTGTACCTAGTTACAGTACCTAGGTACTGCACAACACTGCTAATGTCTTATCTAAATCAGTTAATACAAGCTGTGAAGTTATACAATTGTGAAGTTATACTCATTTTATGAACTTAAAGTAACTTTTGTCAATTTGTAAAACAAACTTAAAATTTATGGCTAGAAGCGTGTAATTCACTCATGTAGAACAAAATAAAGAAATAAATAAAGAAAACTTTATTTTGTTTTGTGTAACGCAAGAAGAAGGTATTGTCGCAGCACTCTTTCTTATCTTTGATTTAAAGTTTAGATTATTAAATGCAGAATTATATCTACAATATTTAATAGCAATATGTTTAACCCTCAGACAGCGGACGTCGTGATACTCGCACGCACGGTAAACGCAGGGTCAAAGGTTCATCCAAGAGTGAAATTGTTTCAAAATATTTAAAAAAACAGTTTTTTTTAATAATTAATAATTTTTATTATAACTATTATAATTAATATAGTTTTTTTATTATAATATGTAGTAGATTATTTCAAATATGTAGGAAGAGGAACACATATTTTGTCATAGAAACATATATTTATTCATTTTCTTCACAGACTACATATAATTTTCTTTTGTATTACATACATTGTGAACAATGACTGCATTTATTGCTATTTTAAGCTAGAATATATAGAAAGTTATTGCAAAATGTAGGAACTTATCTCTCGTAATTACAATTTTATATTAAATTTCACTGAGCTGCTCCGAAATCGAGCGATAAACATAAAATAGGAGAGGAAGAAGCGCACTTGACTCACGCATCATACTTGAAAAAACTAGATAATTCTGACTCGCGGGTCTCGCGAGACTCTGCGTCTGCCGGCGGAAGATTAATTCTGCACGGAATAAACTTAGAATAAAAGAAAATATATTAATATTTCACAAAATAATATTAAGCTAATAATCTGTCTGATAACTGAAGATACAAAATTGATATTTGTTATAATTATTATAATTTATTTGCTTCTTAAAATTTTTATTTCACACACCAAAAGTAAAAATTTTTGTTTAGGGAAGGTGACACAGCTGATCAAGACAATTTACATAGTGATGGTTTCAGTCCGGAAGCAGTTGATTCCAGTAACACCTTTGGAGATGACATGTTGCAAATGGCGTTAAAAATGGCCACAGGAGAATTAGATGAGCCAGCAGTCGATTTGGAAGCTGCCTTGACGCCGAATACGATTACAGCTACGCAGGCACCGCCAGAAAATGCTTTGGACAACGATGGTATGTAATGTGTTTTAAAAATGAATTAGCAAGATATCTATTAATATAATTATATCTCGTCATTTATACTGTTAAAATTAACTTAATTTTTAACAACTCTCATATATTTTTCAGTGCAATCGGAACGACTGATGGTTACTTCTAGAGGAAGGAAACGTGTTGTGCCATACAAACCTCGATCAACACCAACTAAACGGATGAGACGCGTCTCTGGTACAAATGATATGCCATTAATGCCACCGCCGGAACCACAGCCACCCCCGCAACCACGCATTATGGAGCCGATAGAAAAACCCGATGCTAATATGGCGTTAAAATATACATTTGGCGTAAATGCATGGAGACAATGGGTTCGTAAATGTTTCTATTTATATATACGATAACAAGACAGAAATATCTACTACGGATAATTTTAAAAATATACAGGTCGTGGGCAAAAATGCTGAATTAGAAAAACAAATTACAATGACGAGAAAGATAAAGTTGTTCAAGACAGATCTCTTACAACTTACCGCGGATGAGTTAAATTATTCACTATGCCTTTTTGTGAAGGAAGTGAGAAAACCGAATGGTGCAGAATATGCTCCCGATACAATATATTATCTTTGCTTAGGTAAATCAACTTTTGAATAATACGAGAATTAGCAATTATAATTATATCAGATAGGGTAGTGCAGAGTTATTTCGTCATTTTCAATCTTAAAGTAATGTAAAATTTATGGCAACAAACAATATTTTTATGTAGTAACATACTTATAACTACCTTATACAATCATGATTGCTTCTTGAGAGTACAAGTATGATTTTTAAATGTTCAATATACGTTGCTCAGAAATATGACCAACATCCTGAGAAATGAACGAAATAGTCCCACTCTACCCTATTTCTTTCGTAAATTTTGATTTTAATCTTAAATATTTTGTTCGCGTACTTGTTTTAGGAATACAGCAATATCTTTTTGAAAACCACAGGATTGATAACATATTCACGGATCCGTACTATGAGAAATTTACGGATTGTCTAAATGAGGTAGCGAAAAGGTTCTCTGTACTATACAACGATGCACGTAAGTATTTTATTATCCATTTATAATATTTATATTTTTATTATAACATTTGTATTTTTATTTTCATCATTTTTATTTTATCATTTATTTTCATCTTTTCGAACACCATGTTGTCTGTTTTGCAGAATACATCGTGACCAGGGTGGAAGAGGAGCATTTATGGGAATGCAAACAATTAGGTGCCCATTCTCCACATGTTCTGTTAAGCACGCTTATGTTCTTTAATACGAAGCATTTTAATCTTGTGGTAAGTTCACCGTGAAATTAGTTAATAAATCATATAATTATTGTAATGTTTTATTAAAATATATTAATAAATATTTTTCAATTATTTGTCCATATCTTTTTAGACAGTAGAGGAGCATATGCAACTTTCCTTTTCTCATATTATGAAGCATTGGAAGCGCAATCCAGCAGCTCAACCCCCCACGACAGTGACAGGAAAAGTTCCTGGCTCAAGAAATGTTCTTCTGAGATTTTATCCGCCACAATCAGCTCTAGGTTAGTTATAATGTATTTACACACACACACACACACACACAC